CCGTTAGAGCTTATATATGCTAATTTTATTTTAGGCTTATTTATTTATAGCATTTGTCATTTCAAATGATTTTAATTTCCGTTTCTCAACAATGATCAGTTAGTTGAATAAAGTCGATGGATGCAATACTTTTTTACAAAGCTCCTTCCTTCAATGCTCTAATTTTTTGCAATAAATCTATCCTTTATTGAATAATAATCACAGATATTAATTGAATATCGTCCAAATTTTTCTAAAAAATAATGAATATCTTTCATTTCGTGATAATTTCTATCGTTACTTAGTAACAAATACTTTCAAAATAATTACTTACTAAAATCGTTGACAAATCCTACGCCAAAACACAATTTAAATCAAAAGACATTTGAATGGAGACGAATGAATTACAGAGTTTAACACATTTGACATTTTGGATTTACTGGAAACGAAAAAATTTTCACATGAGTATGTTAATAGTAGAATTAGTAGGAAATTAGTTAATAGTATGAAATTAATAGTAGAATTAGCAAACTTTCGGATAAGAATTAATTCCGATGATGAAAGTACGAGCGCAACTACTGCTACTACCGCAACTACCACAACTACCACAATTACTGCAATTACCGCAACTACCACAACTACCACAACTACCACAATTACTGCAATCACCGCAACTACCACAATTACCGCAACTACCGCAACTACCACAATTGCCGCAACTACCGCAACTACCGCAATTACCGCAGCTACACCAATAAGTTTTTTTCAGCAAAACACATTGCTTTCCAAAAGTATTTCCGTTCGATAATAAAATAAATACGCTTTTTCTTATCATTTATATATGTGTGCGTACTCAAACGGCAAGATTTGTTCTTTTTTTTTTTGCGCTTACGCCGGAAATATGCGGCAATGATTTAAATTTTGTCATCTTATTCTCGACATGCTAAAAAAATATTTGCAGCACAAAAGCATCTCAATGCTTACGTCAAAACCTAACGAATTAGCAATAAATAAATTATTTATTCATAAGATTCAATGAAATAAAAGCGAATTTTCAATAATCCATTCATATAAATGAGCTTAAGAATTCAATTCCTTTAATGTCTATTAATAATTACTTTTCAGTAATATTTACCGCTATTATTTATTAGTAATACCTTCTTGGCCTTGTTTATTCATGGCTAGTTTCGTAAGCAATACTTTCCTTATGACTAAGGTAAATGTATGAGCAATGAGTCAACTTGAACGAAATAGTATTGAATTGTCATCATTATTACTAATTAGGTGCAATGGGACAGTTTAAATTTCCGGCCTTTTATCATTAAAGTTTTTTAACGATTTCATGTAATCAGCTAAGTTATTAACCATATGAAATAGTTGAATAATATGAAATCATAATAATCGTAATAAAATATAATCTTAATACATCGTAATAATCATAATAATTTTCTGCTTAAATGCCTGATTCTGACAAATCAAAAACTAATTTTTCGAGAGAAGGAATTGACTGAGAATACGGTAGTTGTTGAACATCAAACTGAGAGATGAATAAACATCATAAGCATGTGAAATTGCCATCGATAAATCATTAATCGATTCATTGAAATTCCCATAATTTTATTCTTTTAATAAATTAGCACTTCAAAAAAAAGCAAACTAAAATTTCCTTTCGTTATTTTGTTTTGAGTTAAATTTTAATTTGAACGGAGATAAAATTATAGGTTACCTGAAACAAATAACTGTCAACAGAAGATAAAAGCAGTAATGAGCAAAAATTTTTTGCTGTAAGTTCATATTCCAATTCCACTTAGACTATTACTTCTCAATTATTTTCACTTAGACTTTATTTCTCAATTATTTTTTGAAAATACAAATATTTCTAATTCTATAGCTAACAGTGATACAAGCAATTAACACAATCAACTAATTCATAATTATAATTAGTTAAAGATGTTTATTTAAAAATTTGCAAAAAAAAAGTTAATTTATTTTCACATTTTATAAGGTGAGCATTTAAATTACAGTTTGATAACAAAAAATGCAATCTATCAGCTACAAATTCAGGAATTTATCTTGAAAATAAATTTTTTAAAAGCGTATTATTACAAATTACTGTGAACAACTGAACTGTGATCAGTTGTCATCGATGTAGATGTGTGACAACGTCATTTCGTCATTTCGTTAGAGTCTTTTTGCAAATGTGTAGACGGAATTGATGACAAAATATCTGAAGGAGATTTTAGTGCAATTCAAAATCAATAATAGCATAAATAATGCTTTCGTTGAATGAAGTAAAACCAATAAGACTAATTAGCATATAATGAATCATTTTCAAAACGGAAAAAAAATTAAATTCAGTTGACACAATTATTCCCAGTCTAACTTGATTTGAAATCTTAATCACTTAGATTCCAATCAAATGCATTAATCACTGATAACACTTGAATTACACAAGTCAAGTAAAATTTTGAATGGCATGAACAAGTAAAATTAATTTTATTTCAATTTGATTCAACCGCAAGGAATTAATAATAGCTAAAAAAAGAAGCCCAACAATTTGATTCAAAAGTACTGGCACTCTTTGTCTCCTTGATTGAAATTATTTTTGTGCTTCTTTCCAATCCGGAATGGATGTGTCGTCGAATAGTATCATACCAGTGAAAAGCCGGAGCCGGAGCGTTTCTATCGATATATGTTAAGATTTGACAATGAATTTGGAAATTTAACAAAACTCATTGAAAGTTGTAAATGGAATCAGCGGTGAACAAATACATCTATTAAATAAATGACAGTGCTGTGACATTCTGAGAGCTACAAATTCACAATTAAATTGAGGGAAATAAATTATGATAGATAATGGATAATACAAAATCAATCTAAATTAGTACACTTCCGTATTTAGCAACTTATAAAAGTTGTTGTCTTAATTTCTTTTTCAGCACTGATAAAACTTTTCAATGGGAATTTTTAATTATTAACCCTTAATTAGAATTCTTAATTGACATATTCAGAAGACGATTTTACAAGCAGTTGCGTTCAATTGCAAATTTATTAATTAATTTTGTCCGAGCGCCAAATTTCGAAGTTGTAATGCTTAAAGGACAAATGCGCCATATTGTAAAAATTTGCTGTTTGCAGTAAAAGAGAAAAACAACATTGCAAGGTGAAATAAATTACAGGAATGATAACACATAAAATAGAAATGAAAAAAAACCAATGCAAATTTATTTTGACCACTAATAGTACTTCTGAATCCTCTTGCTGAAAATTTCAAAGGTTTCAAAATTTCACCAGCTAAGAATCTTCAGTATTTTGGCAAATTCTGAAATACCTAATATAAATGAATTTATTACTCATATTCATTACTCTGTTATCAAAATTAACATCTTCATCAGAAACTGTCCTTCCCGAAAAAGAACGACAGTTCAGTTCTACAACTGCAACAGTCGATCATTATGGTTTTTTGCTAAGCAGCGATATTTTTGGTCAAAAACATTAGAAAAGAAAAAAAAAATTTATGATGGACATATAAATACTGATAAGATTTGTATTGATAAGATTCTTTCTATATTGATTCACTCTTTCCAGTTTTCTTATCATTTGTTCCATTTTTGTTTCTAATTCATTGTCATTTGATTCAGAATTTTCATTTTGAATGTAATTCAATTTACATGTTTTCGTTATAAAAACGAAATGATCGTTGCAGATTTCTGTATAAAGATGAAGTTATCATTTTACGTTTCCATATTATGATAAGAATATATTTGAATAAATTGCTATTGGATAATTAGGAAAGAATTGTTAATTATTGGTTATTTCAGATCCAAAAATGAGATCACTGATGATAATGGCTTTGTTATTCATCATCAATTTCTCATTGGTACATTTAGTTGCTTCAGAAATTGATAGAAGCAGAATGAAATATTTTGATTTAATTCCAAATGCTACTCTTAGGTTTCTGGAAAATTCCCCGGAAATAAGCGTTAGTTTTATTACAAATATTATATAATAGATTTAAATAGATAAGGAAACTATCTAATTAATTGATAAAATTAGCCTATCTTGAGAGTAATAGCTATCATTTATTTAAAAGTTTTTTTTTGTGAGATTGTCTGCAACACTATTTTTAATGTTATGATAAGGATAGGTGACATTTTTTTTTTAACTTAAATCAGAAGATGAAAGATTTAAAATCATGCAATGGTGAAGTTTCTTTCATTCTTCAGAATACACCATTTCTATCACCGCAAGGGATAGTACCGAATTTTGCATTGGAAATGCTAATTAGGTTAATGTATACCAGAATGAATCAGTTGTTGTTTTATGTCGATGAACTTGATATCGTTGAAGGTTTCTAATTACAACTTTTACGTCCAATACACTGACTATTATCTCGCAAGCTAGTTTTGATAAATTTTTTTCTTTTTTTTTAAACTTTGAAAGATTGAAATCCAAATATGAATAAATATGGAACATTTTAATGTCATTTTAGGAATTAATTTGCTACTTTTCAACGAAAACAATGAATACTTTTAAAAAGTAATGTACTTGCAGATTGCAAAACAGACATGAAACTATCGTTGCAAACAATTTCTGGTATCATAAATGGTAGCGAAATGTCGAATTGGCAAAAATCCTTTTTGCAGAATGCATTGCTTCCAAGTTGAATTTAACATTTAAATAATATAATTAATTATTAAGAAAGGACGAATATATATTAATGAAGGTGGGAAGAAGAGAAGGGGTAGAAGTACGAGCCTTCGGGAAAAGTCTCGAAAAGACCGAGAAAGGTGTGAAAAGCTGGTTAACCTTTTTGATAATACAGCTCCATGGAGCTCCCTTTTGCTAATATTTTACCTTGAGTTTAGACGTTTTTGTGTTTGCTTCGTATTAATGCTGTTCTAATCGTAATAACTCCTCTCAAATGCCTTATCATTGAATTGTCTTATCATCGATTGCCTTATCAGAGAATAATTCAAAGTTAAACATTTGTGACAAAATATTGATGAGATGCTAAAACTACAAAATAATATAGTATTGAAAGCTACATAACTTTCACATAATAAAATTGATGGATTTATTATCTGAAGATATTCATTAAGTATTTTGCTGTTTGCAGTGATTGATGCAAGCGCAAAATTACCTTCGGGAATTCTTCGAGGTCATGTTACTGTATTTGGACAGTACAAGGAGTGCATGTTAGCCAGACAGCAATTACCGAATTCCACGCGTGTTATCACTGGTAGTTACATAAGGTATGTGTATCTTTTCATTTTCGTAATGTTTATGCTATCATTTAGTGATTGATTATCGATTTGAAATTCATAGACATATTTGTTTTTTTGTAAACTTTCTGAATCATCTCGTACAAAATGCATCAAAGAGCTAAGAATGCTGCATACTGCATGCATGCATTCAAACATGTACCTGCAATTACTCGCAAATATAATGCGATTTTAGTGCAACTGTATTTCCATCTCGATGTTGCAAAAAATTTGGTTCTTTTTTCTTTCGTAACAAGATAGAGCTTTCTCACAGCTGTATCGAAAATTTATACATAGGATAAAGCCTTTACAAATTAGTTACCGAATGTATGCAAATCTCTCACCATTCAGACAGAAGCATTTTTAGATGATTTGAAGAGTGACTCATCATTTTAGGTGTGAGAAAGCATTTTATACTTTTTTGTGTAATGTGATGAATCGTTTATCTAGGAAATACTCTGTACAATGAATGCTTTAACTGCTTTAACATAATTCTCTTCGGCTTTTCGATATTAGCAATTTTGTTTATCTCGTTGCACTTTGCACTTTGCACCTTGCACTTTGCACTTTGCACTTCATTATTTCTTTTTTTTTCCTTTCCTTACTTTATTCACTCTTAATTTCTCTTCAATGATTGTAAATAAAAAAACAGTCATCAGTACCAGATGGAATGCATTTTCAGGATCTTTATTGATAAAGAGTTAAGGAATCACAATACAACAGATGCTTGCAAATTCAGTGGATACAGTCTCGACAATCCATCATTTGACGTTTGTCTACCCTCATCATGTGACCATTACAACACGCTGATGACGCTTAGTCGTTCACGTAACGTGCTTAGCATACTTTTCTTTCTTGAAAATCTTCAAAATTTCATTTTGTTTTAATCGACATTTTCATTAATCAAAACGCTAAGAAAAACCAAATTCCATTTTGGTGTGAAATTTTTTTTCCAATTATTTTTATTCA